TAGCCCCCCCTCCCAGCTCCATTGCCTACCCTGAGCACAGCTCCGGCCCAACCCCTCCCCCACCATGCACCGGGTAGAGCCTGGTTCAGTCCTGGCCCCAGCCTGCAGCGGCAGTCCACCCCACCCGCGACCCATACATATCTGGGGGCACATGACCCCCCACGGCCTCCCAGGGTGTGCACAGTGGCAGGAGCCACCCTCCCACTCCTTGTGCCCCCTGGATGAGCTGTGGCTCCGTCCCGCACCACGCCCTGCCCTAGCTGGGCAACACCTACCCAACCCCAGCCCCAGCCACACTCCCTCCCTCACTGCGGGGGCCATTGAGCTGCTCCCCCACACCCCTGCCCTCCTGCCCCCCTTCTACCACAACAGACTTACCAACTGCATGCAGCTCTGCAAGCTGCCATGCTGTGCTCCTTGCTTCCTGCATGCTGTGCTGCAGCTGCACACATGCATGGGCATTCATAAGCCAAATTATTGGCCACATCAGACTGATTTCCAATAGTCAATTTTCTTTATATTGGTGCTGATCTGATATTGGACCAATGCGTCGGTGCACCTCTAGTGAAAACCAATCCAAAGTATCACAGAAATCTCTATGGAAGAGCTGGGAGCCTTCCACAGTAACTCCAGGCTCCTGCTGACTGAAGATTGGGTGATTGGTCTGATGTATTCTTTATCATTTGCCTTCTACTCTCCATAAGCGGTCATATATTTAAACTTCCATTACTATTCCTTGTTCCCTGCTTTCCCCTCCAAGCACTGTTGAAAGGATCTGTGAAGTCTTACCTGTTTGAAACCAACTGCTGTAGGTGAGTCCATACAAGAACTGCTGGAACAAAGACCTTTGGGAACGAAATGCCAGAGACATTAGTTGATGTAGGCTCATCAGAATACATTACCAGGTGCTAGGCAGGAAGGAGTAGGGACTGAAGACTGTGTACTGCTCTGTTCCAGGTTGACATGATGTATACAGTCACAAGTAAGAAGCAAAATTTTTCCTTTGTGGTGGAGGTTGATTTGCTAGGCTTTGAGACTCTTACATACAGTCATCATGTGGGAAGAAACCCAACCCATTCGATGGCCTAGCTGGTCAAATCCAAAATGGCTCTCAGAGAAGCTGCTGTCTCAGTGAAACAGCACAGCACTCAGTTTGCTCACATTTGTTTTTCTTTGACTGTGTAACTCAGTGGAACATGGCAATGATAAAGAACTGCATGTACAGTAACTTAGACAGGGCCAGTTCTAGCTAATAAGACAAAACTGGATAAAAGACAGGTTTCCTCAGAGTAATAAATGTATGATTAAAAAAAATCCACAGAAGGAATGCAATCTGTCTGTCTGCCTTTCTAGTCTGTCCATCCGTCTTCTCATACAGTAGAGAGAGGTAGTTAGCTATGTTAATCTGAAGTCAGGCAGTAGGCAGGGAAGGGTAGCACATTATAGACTAACTTGTCTATAGGTGAGGTATGAGCTTTCATAAGCTACAGACTACTCCATCAGATGCTATGAAAGCATATAAAGCGGTACCCTGCCCTATTTTCTAACTTCTCATAGCGTGCTTGTCACCACTGTGTATCTAATACCACATTTATGATTCACAGAACATCTTATAAAGTATTACAACCAAAATGTTCAAGTGTGGGTGGTTAAAAGGTGAGTCATTTAAATCTATGCAATTGAAATCTGCATTAATATACCTAAAAAAGTCTTAATTTTTAGACATGTTAAGCATTTCAGCTCCACTGAAATCATGGACAGCACCAGTTGTTCAGTATGTTAGAAAAGCAGGCCACTAATTTAGGTGCCTAACTTTAGATATCTGTATTTTAAACTTTAAGATTAACTATGCAATGCCACAGTATAAATAACTGTTTAAAGGAGGCATAAGAGCTGAGAGCATGTGTGTATGTATGTTCATATATGTATGTGTGTGCAATGTGTGATCATGTGCGATGGTGGCTAAAGGGTATACGACAACATTGTATCTTCAGTGAATAAACCTTGAGGCCATGGAGCAAGATTTAGTGTGGTCTAATGAGCAAAATTGGGAGATGTGGGCTGCACTGGGCTAAAAGAAATGTTTCCAGGAAATGCTTCCTTACCACAAAACCTACTAAACTAAGCAGGAGTCTTCCAAAGGGACTAGTGGGAACCCCATTAGATTTAGAAACCCTAGGAAAAGAGCTTGTAGAGAAGGCTCCAACTCCAGGATTTGAACTTTGTAAATGGGAGCCAACAAGGCATTTCTACCTCTGTGTAACAGAGCACATGATGCTCTGTTACTTGGAGGGGCCTGAGCAGCAGTATGGCAGGGGGGGGGTGGGGGGGG